CAAAGATGGCAAGTATGGAGTCAGAAGACATAAAAATAGAAGATTCTACGGTGGAAGAACCCAAGAAGATATGCATTTATGTGTTTTTTAGCTAGAATATCGTTTTTCCGAAAACAATCCCCCGCAGACGCGGTCAACATGTACAGGTCGAATTTTATAGGTAAAAATTGACATTGAGATGTCGATTTTGGAGTACAAAATCGACACCTTAGTGTCGAAATTTAACTATTAGCAAATTAGTCCAAATATACTAAATTTCAACATTAAGGTGTCGAATTTATGGACATATATTCGTCACCTTAATGTCGAAATTTAGTTGTTTCATATTTTTTTAAGTTTCTATTTTTCAATTACTTTTTATTTCAATATTCATTTATTTTTTTATAGCAAAAGGCGAATGTGAAGACGTAGTTTATTGTCTAAATTTATGCGAGATTTCAAAAATATGTACAAGACATCAAGAACGTCGCGTCAAGAGCGGCGGTCGGCGGCAGAGCTTGGGCGTAGGGTAGGGTTTCACAGGGGAGGGGGCTGAGTTTTTTTAATTTCACATTTCCTTTGTTTTTTTTTTTTCATTATTTGTTATTTGGTTTTGCATGAGCAAACAAAAGTCAATTTAATTTATGGGTATATTTGTTATTTCATCTTAATAAAATAGAATTTTTTTTAATCTTTCTTTAATTTGGTCTTGCACAAGTGGAATTAGTATTGCATATAGTCGCAGCCTAATTTTTAATGTGTTAATGAGAATATTGGTGTATTTAATAGGATTTATGGACCAAATAATTTGGTGTTTGTGTTATCAAAAGCCCAATAACGGGCCCAATAATGTACTCTACATAAAGTATAGACTTCTCTTCTTTTACTTTTCCTTTTTAATAAAATCTTTTTCAAATAGTTGTCAAAAACCAGAGGAAGAACCCTGAAATTAACGGTGATAAATTCCACAGAGATTGTGTGTGAGTTGAGAGATGGGGAAAGCAGTTAGAGAGCAACTCAGCCGAGTTCTAAACGATCACCTCAACACCATACATGAAACTCTCCAGGTTTTTCTTCACTTTTTTCCACTGTTTTATTTTTTTTGTTTTAAATTTCAAAAAAAATAAATCCATTTATTGAGCCAGAAATCGAAATTTCTGTGGCGATGTTATCAATTTTGTGCATCAAATTATTATTTTTGGTATTGTTGATGGGTTGTAGTATTGTAATTTGAGTGGGGTATATTGTTCAGATTTTGGACAAAACGCCGCCGTCTTCGCTTGATAAGGTCAGCTGGAAAGAGGTGATTCAGATGGGCGAACAAATTTCCAAACAAGCCACTAACGGTCTCTCTCTCTCTCTCTCTCTCTCTCTCTCTCTCTCATGTACAATTTGTTATGAATATTTCTGATTCCTAATTGTTTTTTTATGTCTATGTTATTCCTTTGTGTATTACTGTATTGAATTAGTAAACGTAATTGTCGAATAAGAGTATGAATTCCATGCTTGGTCGAGTTTATTTCATTAGTAAAACGACCAATTGGTGAGTAAATTACCGACACTTCCGAAGGAAACAAAATTGGAGTCGGGAAATAATTATACAACTTTAGAAGTTTGAGTCGAGAAATTGTGACTTATCGAATTTTGTATTATGTAGTGAATGTTTTTTAATATAATGTAGCTGGGATGCTTTACACGGGAGAAAACCCTGGAGTGAAAGCCCTCGAAGAAAACATGGCGGCATATTTCAATATGCTCCAAGGTTTTCTTTTACTGTCACATGGAAGTTCGACGGGTGCAGGACCAACCTTATCTTCGTGCATTCATAAAGCTGTTAAGCAAGTTGTTGACAGCAGTTTCATGCTACTACACGAAGCTGTCTCTTCATTTGGTATCTCTCTCTCTCTCTCTCTCTCTCTCTCTCTCTCTCTCTCTCTCTCTCTCTGTGACACACACACATACACACACAATATAATGTAAAATTTGGTAGAATGAATACGTAGTATTGAGCTGAAAATACGACATTCACTCAAACATTGAGATGATTTATTTGCTAGCTATTATATATCTCAAAGTAAGTTACTTTGGGAAATTAAAAAGATTAAAGATAAGAAAGAAAGAGAAAGCAGTCGTAGATTCGTAGTTTCTTGGAACTGTTGATATGCATTTTTTTTAATTCTGAATAAAGCTATTTTCGATCACTGTCTAACTAATGGTGAATAGTGATGTCATTTTGCTTGCTAAAACAGAAGGGGCAATCAAGAAGGCCGATTTCTTAAATGCGAAAAAAAGTTCGATCAACTTTTTTAAATTAAGAAGTACAATTTATATTACCACCCCTCGTTAAGAGAGTTGGTAAGATAAAAAAAATCTTGCCACTCCCCTATTTGATGTAGGATTTAAATTTCGATCCGTCTATTAAGCCCTCCATTCTTTTTAAAAGTTAAATAATTTTGTTTCTTGTAAATGAATTTACAGGATTGCCATCGAACAAAACACAGAAACTCTCAATTCCGCAACTTGCTGGTGCAGTGTGGGAAGCATGTTCGGCACTGAAGAAAACTCCCTCCACAAACGTAATAGCTATCGGCAAAGCAATCTCACAAGTCGCAGTTTCGATGAAGGATGTTCTTCGTGAGATGAACGAACTCAAGCCAGCATCAAATGAAGAAGAAGAAAAAGAACCTTCCGGAAACTCCTCCACCAAACCGGAAGATAAACCCTGCGACGAAGACGATGATTTATGCGACGGAGATTTGGGCAGCGATTTATCGCCCGAAGAAATGAAAATCGTGGAGCTAACTACAGACATTGTTTCTAGAACATTGGTCGTTCACAAGGAACTAATCCGATGCATAACTCTGTTGCTTCAGAGGGAAAATTCAGACGATATTTCGGTGGATTCTTTGGAGAAGATTTTGAAGGTAAGCCAAAGAATCGGAGTGCAGGTTGATGAACTCGGTGCGTGCCTTTATCCACCGCAAGAGATTTCTGCGATTAAGGTTGCTATTGAAAAGATTTCGAGTTTGAGTGGTGAAGTAGAAACGGAGCTGCGAAATTTGAAGGGTTGTACGGAGGATTTTGGTGAAGCTTGTTCTCGTTTGAGGAGTTCGTTGGGGCAGTTGGGAAGTGAACTAGGTTGTGATCTTGCGCCCGAATTGGAGAATCTTGTTATAACCGATTAGTAAGGGTGAGTTTTGAGTGCTAGAGTTAAACATCATATCCCTTGATTAGTAAGGGTGATTGTCAATGGATTTATTATTATGAATTTAGGATTTTTGGTAACAAGTTTATTCATTCCAAATGGAGCCTTAAACATTATACACCTTGATTAATGATGATAAAATTGTAGAAAACACGACGATTCACACTATATTTTGTTCGCACACGAACCGTAACCAAATATTGTGGTCGTTTTATGTGTATGCGGAATGCACTATTGAAATATGAAATAGGTTACGAGTCTTTCTTACCACCAATTAATTTTAGAATGATCGGTATTCGAGGTCCTAAACATGTTAGGGCAAATTACGGCCAATTAAGGTCCGAAAAATTCCTTCTTGTTTGTGTAATCACAACTATCCACTTCAACTTTGCATTTTTTTTACGAAAAACCCACTCCTTCAGTTGGTAAATTTCACATTGCAAGAGTGGGCGTGTAAGACATACATAGTTGAAGGGGATTGTTGTAATTACTCAAACAAGAGGATTTTTTCTCGTAATTTGACATTGCCTTAGGGGTGGCCGTAATTTGCCCAACATTTGAATATGATGGTAAACATGTAACTTATACAGGTGATTGACATTTGAATTACAAGTGTACTTTGGCACTTTGTTCCCCTTAAATTGCAAAAAGAGCAGAACACACCCTCGAATAATATATAATATCCTTGGCAAAGTGCACCCTGATTCAACTTTTGGCTTAAAATGTGACCGGCAACCTGTTTGTGATATTGAAATGGGGGCAGATTAAATAGTAAGACGAGTCATCATTAGTTGAATAATTCAGTTTTATTTGATACTTGGTTGATGCAATAACTTTTCAGATCGATCCACAATTGTAGACAAACAAACTCTTATTTTGTGTAGTGAAAGCATTGCATAATCTTATATGGACTAATCTTATCGTAAGTACGTTAGCCGTAATGTAAATATATATATATATATATATATATATATATATATATATATATATATATATATAAGTTGAAACTTGGATATGTATTGAAAGAGAAGTTGACACGAGTTTATAATATATCTTCTTCAAGTGGAGGTATACAACAAAAAGAATTCTTTGAAAGCACAATATGGACTTGTGAACCAAACCTATATTTTATACAATAATGCAACCTACTCTCATATTCGTAGCCGCACGAACAATGGTCTTAACGTACGCAACGGAAAGTAAAATCAAGATCATCGTCCAAGGAGCTTGACCATGGAGGCCCCACCCAAATAAAGAGCCATAAGTGGGCCCGCTAGTAGCATTTGTGTAAGAGGATCGGTCGATGGTGTTAGTACAGCTGCTGCAACAACTGAACCTACAACTACATATTTCCACACTGACAGCATTTGCTCTGACGAAACTAAACCAACTTGTCCTAGAAGCAGTTGTATCACTGGAACCTGAATTTAGACATGAATTTACCATTAAAATTAACAAATTCTCGACCACTAAAACGTTCTTACAACATCAGCTAAATTATATGTATGTAATAATCTCTGTCTTCGGACAAGTAGATGTATATACAAAATGCCACCCGAAACTCACATGCACAAGGTGGACAACAATTTATCGTTCATTGGGCAAAAAATATTCGAAAATATTCATCTGCATGCAAAATTGACGAACATAAAGTAACAGAAGTATTTACCTGGAAAGACAAGCCAGTGCTGAACATGAGGACAAGGACGAACTCGAAGTACTGGTCGATAGACCAAAGCGACTCGACGACACCTTCAGCGTAAGTAATAAAAAAAGTCAAGGCTGCTGGTGCAAGAACATAGTAAGAAAATACGATGCCTGTGTAGAAAAGGACCGAAGATCCTAGTACAATTGGCCCAAGAAAACTTCTCTCTGACTTGGTCAGACCTGGGAGAGTAAAAGCTATGATCTCGTATAGGATTATCGGGCTTCCTAACAGAAGTCCACAATATCCAGATACCTGCACAAATTAAAAAATAAAATTATATTCCTTTGTACTCGTCTACAAGTACCATATTTCAAAATCAAATTCTATAATTAAAAATAAATAAAATGCTTTAAAGGGGCGATCCGGCACATCTTCGACGACAATATAAACATCATATTTTTGTTCCATGTTCGTAAGACGATGAAGATCACTCGACTTTTTCAAACTAGTAAAAAAAATTCTTGAAAATCTAACCTTGAGAGATGTGAAGAAAAATTCGCCAGGGGCTAGTTGTAAAAAACGAACGCCTTGGTTTGCAACGGGAGCTTCAAGGAGCATAATGAGTTGCTTGGAGAAAGCAAAACAACCAACAATGGCACCTCCAACACCCAAAACCGAAACAAAAATTCTATCTCTCAGTTCCTCCAAATGGTCATAAATACTCATTTCTTTATCATCGGGGAGTAGCTCCTTACTCGGATAAAGAAAACTGTAAATAGAATTCCCTCCTTCATAATCTAGCCCGTTGTTCAGAAACGGATTTTCTGTTGCTTCATCACCAGAATCTGTAATGGCATCAAATGACATAATTTTAGAATCTGAGGCTCATAACTTTTAATCTTAATATTGTAGTTTCAAATTTCGAAATGTCTAACTATTGAAGATATTAATATGAAGGTGGTGTTTGCAAAAGTTTATTTAAAAATAGAAGTTAGTGATTGTGAGTTAAGTTGGAATTAAGTGATTATTTCTAAAAGTTGGGGGTATTTGCAAATATTTTGGAAAATGAACTTAAATAGAAAAATCAGGTAAATGGATGCTCTTAAAAAAGTAAAAAATAGCTTAAAACAACCAATTTTAAGAGAAGAGAAGCAAAAACAAAAGTTAATTTTACAAACACCTAAAAACAGATTATGAGCAAAAGAAAAACTTATAATAACTTTCAAAAAGCTTTTGCAAACACCACATAAATAATACATTTCTGATTTCACTGATAGCTTAAGCTTGTCATTCAACGTGGCACATAAATGATACATATTTTATTTCACTGATAGCTTAAGCTTTTGGTTGAAGCGGTCATTCAACGTGGTATTTATAAAGACACAATCTTTAACATATCCAATTCATAAAATCCAAAATGAATAGCACCCAGAACAAGTAATCTTAGCACCCAAAACAAGTAATCTTCAAAATCACCAACAAAAATCGAAACCCATTATAAAAAAAAAAAAAAAAAAGAATTAATTGAACATAAAAGGTTGGTTATTTAGGTTACCAAGTCTATCCTCAATGAGAGGGCCAACGCCATTAAGAGTGATTTCGGTGGCATCTTCGAAAGCGGAGCAAACAGTAGTGCTAATAAATCTCTTGAAGTGTTGTTGCCTTTTCTTGAAATTGAAGATAGATTTAGAGTTGAAGCAATTGAAGCAATTGAGGGAGTTGTTGAATAGGCGTGGGTTGTAGATGAGAAGAGCTCCTGTGGTTCCCATTGCTGCAAATGAATGAATAAAGCTTGAAAGAGATGATTGATTGGTGTTTGGGGGTGGGTTGAGTTAGTGAGTGGTGATATTTGGCGGGACGTGGCGCATTACAATTTAGTTACATTCATACTCTTTAAATTTATGTCCATCAAATATTGCTCTCTATAAAAATGTAAATTACAAATTTATTGGCCTAACCCCTCGTTTGGTTGGGGAAATTAGTCATGATTACTAAATAATAGGAGTTTGTATGATGATTGGTATTCACAATAACTTGTCGGGTCGATCCGTAAATATTATGTTATCATGACTTGTCTTGCCTTCTAGGCATGTTTTTTATCGGATCATCTAAGGTCCAATAATATAATTGAGTTTTATTAGATTATTTAATATTATCTTGCATGATCTTATCTTGGCAATCAAACGTGGCCTTAATGTATACTTTAATTATGAGAATTATTTATTGTTTGTAAAATTATTGAGCTTCTTAACAGAAGAAGATATATATGCTTGAACTATAAAAATCCTACTTATGTTCAACGTTTACTATGACCCTGGTATTTTTTTCCCGTGCGAAACATAAGATAGCATTTTAAACGTGAAGAGAAATGATTAATTTAATACATGACTATAATAATAAATGAGGAGATATATTATACTATTATTGAAAAATTTAGGAAAACATCAATATTGATAGAATTTGGTAATAAAAATCCACTCGACTAAAAGACATATAAACTTAATCGACATAATCGCATGAAAATGGCTGTTATATAAATGAGCAATTAATAAGACAAAATTAATTTAAAGAAAATAATAACCTATCAACATATATAGTTTTTGTTTATATATTTATAACAAATAAGTCTTTCAATTTTCCAAATAAATATATTTCATTAGTAATATTAAGATTTTGTAAAACTACTTTTTTTTTGGTATTACGTAGTAAAATTTATTTTCCAAATAAATAGGTTGAGATGTAACAAAAATAAATTCAGTGTAGTAATATTATTCGTTTTTTACTTTTTTAAATCCTATGTAGTAAGATTTATAATCCACATAAATAGGCTCAGTTTTAACAAAACCAAATTTCGGTCGTTATCTCTTCAAATTTGAGATATATGTACAAAAAATAGCATACTGAACTTAGAAGGATTTTACACAGTTTAGTTTAAACTTTGATAATGATTAAAAAATATAGTTAGGAAGTTGGTAAAGAAAATATTAAAATAAATAATTATAAAAATACTTAAAATGTCACAACGTATTGGACAAGCTTTGAGATGTTGGCTGATATAACTTACTGTATGATTTCACATTTTTCTGTATTGCGAATTTGACTGATATTTATTTTTTGTCTTAATGTCTATTGGAGGATGTACATGTTTATTAAACTACACCATAGTGCAATTATGTGTTGAGTCCAGAAATGAGGTATATTTGAGGGACTAATTTTTATTGGCTTTGTGGATTCTGATATGATAGGAATGTTTGATTTCTAAGAATAAAGGCAGAAGTGTGTTAAATGATTATGTGACTGATGAGATATATGCAATGCAGTTTGATGATGGGAATCATGATTGTGTTGAAAGTGACTCATTAGGCAACAATGTTGGTTCTGATGATGAACCTAGCATCAAATATCCAAAGTTTAATCCTAGGACATATAATACTAGAGTTGAAACTAGGTTTGATTTTTGCTTCTAAAAAAAGAAGCCAAATTTGTAATTGAGAGTCACTGTTTTAGAAGAGACACGGTAGTTAAGTTTGACAAGAATCGCAAAAGGAGACTGAGAACTAATTGTACGAATTAAGTGTGCGGGTGGTCAATCCTTGTGTCACCTATGAATTATGACAAGTCTTGGCAAATTAAAACATATATGGTTGAACACAAAGATTGTTTTTGGAACTATAACAATAGTAGCCTTAGGTCTAATTGGATAGGAAAAATATTTGTGAAGAAATTCAAAGAAAATTCCAAGTTGGGAACTACTGAATTCAGAAATGAAGTTTGCACTAAATTTAAAGCAAGTGTTCAGGTCACAGGCCTATAGGGCAAAAAGAAAAGCACTTGATGCAATTTAGAGCATTGTAGATGAACAATTCAAAGCATTGGACAAGATCCATTTCAGTGCACTTTCAAAATGTGATATACTTCTAAATAACATGTGTGTCTGCTCTAACAGCTTTATTCTTGATGCAAGAGTGAAGTCAATTGTTCCAATACTTGAAACAATCAGGAATTTATTGATAGCTAGGATATTAATCAAACTGGGAAAAAGATGGAAAATAGGACTCGACATTTGTTCTAAGATAAAAAATGTATTGATAAAAATATAAAGAAGTTCCTACGAGATGAGATTTAACTGACATCCCTGTAGACATATCATTTCTGCTATAGGGTGCAAACATGAAGATCCTGAGCAGTATGCTCATCACTATTACAGTGTTGAATCATACAAAAGGTGTAATGAAAAAAGCCCATCTGTCCAATTATTGGACCAGAGTTGTGGCCACAAAACAGTTTGTAGCCTTCTTTCTTACCTAACTACAGTGGAAAAACTTGTAGGCCAAAAATGTTGAGAAAAAGAGAAGTTGATATGCCATCTGCACCCGATCAAACAAGGTTCAAAGTGGTTAATAGAAGCAGTAAGTATAGCAATGGTGTGAGACTGACCATAACACTAGGAGTTGTGGCAGAAAAAAAGAAGGCCAGCATGTTCATCAGGTCCATGAAAGGAGTTCCAACACAACAAAATAGTGTAGTTGGCAATGAAAAAGGAGTAACACCATGAAATTAAGAAGTTCAGTATAATAGCTCTTAAACTTCAATGACTGAGTCTTCAATTTGTCCAATACCAAGACATCCACCATATAAGGTTGAAGATTTTGAAAGTATTGAGCGATGATGACGAAGAAGTTAATATTCCTCGAACGTTTACTCAAGAATCCTTTTGTAACAAATCTCGGTCTGTTGTTCCACTTAAGGTGGTGATTGCAATGGCTTATTTAAAATCAAAAGTTATGCATTGTGAGTTAAGTTGGTTTTAGGTGCTTGTTTCCATAAGTTTTTAATTGTTGCAAATCTACTGAAAAATAAACTAAAAAAAAAAAAAGTAGGGTCATGGATGCTTTATAAAGTTGTTATTTTAAGATAAGCAAAAGAAAAAGTAGGGTCATGGATCCATTTTCAAGAAGCACTTTGATAAGTCGACCATTTTATATGGAGAAATGGCAAAACGCAAAGTGTCAAAATTTTAGTTTGAGGATAAATTGCACCTACATCGTTTGAAGTTAGGCGTAATTACGTACATCTAGACCCCTTCTAGTTTAGAAAATTATGCAAACATCCTTAACGTGAAATATTTAAAATGGCTGACTGTGAGATTCGAACTCAGAACCTTTCATTTGGCTTGCCTCTCATAGCAAGTTGAATGATCATCTCAAACAAAAGGTTAAACTGGTAGTGAAATATATCATTTAATATAAATATCTCAAATATGATGTGTTGACCAGACAACGCAATAACCGAGCCAACAGTTTGAAAAAAAAAATAGAGAATTACCAGTTAACACCGTTGATCGGCGATTAATGGTTGTCAACAATCAAAATGACTGGTAAACTCAGGGTTTCAAATGTTGAATCGTGAATGTTGAAACTTGAAAGGATTATTAAGGATATTTTTATCATGGATAGACTTTTAGTAAAAGAGATTTATTTTGGGCTTTTAAATAAAAGAAGATTATGTGTGGACATATTCGCAAAAGTTTTAGTGTTGATGGGTTTATAGGTACACAGGGGCCAGTTCACAGTTCACTTTTTCAGGAACCGGAACTGGCCCATACAACACATGATTCGACGGTCCGGGCCGCCAAATCCGGTTCCAGGCCTATCCGGGCCAGCCCAGGGAATATATATATATATATATATATATATATATATATATATATATATATATGAAATGCTAAATCCCACACTGATTTTACCAAATCATGCACATAACTAAAAATATTTTTCTCTCTAAAATCTTCTCTTCTTCTTCCCCACCCTTCTTCTTTTTCCCTAATTTTTTCACAAAATCACACACTAAAAATATTTCTAGCATTCCAAGTTCGAATTTGACAAAAATCTTCACATGTTCAAACTAAAATAAAGTTAGAATTTGAGGGAAAAAAAATCGAATTGATATGTATTTGAGTAATTAAAAAGGCTTAATGAAATTGAATAAATATCACATAAAACGGAACTCATTTTTTATGATTATTCGCGTAAAAAATTAATGAATTTTGAGTGACTTGAATAAACTTCCATTTCCGATGCAGTTGAATATCTGAATCCAAATACCCATATGCATTTTTTTTAGTGAAGCAGAGTTTCATAGTTATAGTGAACTCGGTGGGTGGTTAAAAACGTGGATTAAATCATCAGGCTAAAACTAGAAAGGATCATTCCATAGTATATGCCATAAGGGGAATACCATGTGGCTTGGTAAAAGGTTATGACATCTTTAGAGCTATTTCCCTAAGAAGATTATAAACACAGTAGAATATGAGGTTAAGGGTGCATGATAGTTATTAAAAACACAAACAACAGGGAGCAAATGCGGTGGTACCTCTTTTAAAAACAATGTGCACCAAAACTTATGGTACAACAAATGAATTAGAAAATGAAGTAAACACAAATTAACCACAGAGACTCCGTAAAATTTTCATGACAAATAATGCAGAAAGATAAAAGCGCTAAAGAAATAATACTCACTTTTTTGTGAAATAGATTGGTAAATCTTTAGCAGATTGTTGAGGTGAGGGAGCAGAAGAGTGTCTTCCCGATTTGATTGAGGGGGGTCATCAACGTTTACTGAAAGGTGTCTTGGACTTGGAGATCTAAACGGTGTTGTTCTTGAAGATAAGCCTATCCTGTGTGGTTTCGTGACTCGAAAATGGTCTGTTCTCTCTCGTATTTCTTTTCAAAGGGTTTGCTGGACTTCTGTTTGATAAAAAGAAATAATAAGGATGTGAGCACCATGTTATCTCTCCTTCATGATCGTCCAACTTGCTGCAAAATTGTAAAGCAAAAGGTGATTGCGAAGGAGGCATAGACGGTTGAGCTCCACGAGATGATAAGCTATCAGTTGCACCTACAGAATATATCAAAGATTTAATCTATTAGGAGAGTATCCATCACTGATGTCTGATGCTATGCTATGATATTCTTTAATTTTCAGTCCAAGAATTATTTGTTTTCGTTTCTAAGTTTATGAAAACAATTTCATTTATCAATATCAAGACAAGTAAACCAAACACATTTCCCTAACATTAAATGACGTCAAGTCAACTGGTCAAACATTGGAAGTCACTAAACCAAAACACATTCATTCTAACACATTTCCATGTGGAATCTTCTCCAAATAGTTCCAAGAATTATTTTTCACAAAACGACAACTCAAACAAAATGGTTACTAGAAAAGAAAATGCCTATTGTGTTCATCCTCATGGTTGAATTATGATTCTGTTATTATGGCCTAATGAACTTCTTTCGAAAATTCAGCCACATAGCTAACCTTTTCAAAATTGAGCCACGTCTGCAGCTCTAGATTACATATAATATTATGTTAACGAGGTAAACGGTATGGAAAAGAGTTGCAGACGTTAAGTTTCTTCTCTCACACCATGTAAAAATACAGAAAAAAGGATCATAGATTAGAGGAATAAAGCCACTTAACCTACCAGTAGCAGTAGACTCGTCATCCACTGGAATCGCCTTCTTGTAATTGTCATCAACCTGTAAAGCAAATGTGATCACAAATGCCGTACATCAACAAAAGAGAACATAATCTTTTACAAAACACAAGTTACAGAACTGAAAAAGTTAGTGAAAGACTAGTGCAGGGTGGGTATAACACGAAAACAAAAGGGAAATGATGCATCATCAAAATGAAAGACGGTAGTTCCAAATATATACATCATTTGTTCTTTTTTCATTGCTTCAGGTTTACTATCAAAGAAAAAGGAGTATAAAGAGAGAGTTTCTCTTCGATACTCCTGGTCAATCCCCCAATTTCACAGTGATAAGGGGGAAACGGGTACGATTTCACAGGGCCAGAACTTCAAAAGGAAAGATAAATATCTGCAGCTCCTTGTAATCAAATTAGCCATGCACAAATAGACCTCCTTTTTCCTGCTCTTCTCTTCACAAATCAACAACGAAATCATTTAATCACTTTTTTCTCTCTTTAAGTCATTGTGTGATGCCACTTAACTTCTAGCCTATAATGAATTTGTTCAAACGTTTTTCCTCTCAGACTCAAAATAGAGTTCCCACCACTGATCCTTAATAAAGCAACAATAGATTCCACAGAAGATGAATAAACTTAATCGAGGAATGCCATCAAATCCACATCAAAATGACAGTTACTTCCCTCCAAAATTGCGATGACAATTTCTGGAAATGATAATCTGCATTCCATTTTCAACTTCCAGAATCACTTCTCTAAACCAAGTCAACTAATTTCGACGATTAATAACTCTGTGTACAACACTTTACCATCATTACAAACCGAACCCGAAAACCCGAAAACCCAAAAACCGAAAACACGAAAACCCTAAAGTGAAACCCCAAGAAAATAGTAACACTTAGTGGGGAACTAAGTGTTACTAATGCCCACATCAAAATTACAGATAACAACGCCCTAAATTGAGGGATAAAAAAATAAACCCAACCTTCCGAAACTTTCTCCGCTCCACCTCCGCTTCTATAATCTTCAAGTTAAGCCGCAATTTACCGCCGCCATCGCACAATTTCATTGAAGCCAAATTCCGTTTTACCCTAGTAAATTTTTCCATCAGTGCCTTGTCATCGAGGAGCCCGAGAGAGGGGCCCTTTGGCGATTCCTCCATCACCACCTCCCCAGATTCCGATTTCTCCGCCGCCACCTCCTTAATCACCTCCACGGAAGGAAGTAGATCGTCCCAGTTGATGTCCAATTTCTTCTTTCTCTCTCCTCCCCCTTCCATGCATCTGCACACACCACTGTGTATGTACATGTTTGGAAATTGGCAGTAGAGTGGGGGGAAAGACGGTGTTCAAGAGGTGTTTGTCGAATTGTCCAGCAGAAAAAGGGGAATGGCTTCTCTGCAAATTTAAATTTTTTTCTCTTAAACGCCGATGTTTTTTAAATTTTTTTAATGTAAGTATTTTTCTCTCTCTTGCTTTTTGGATGAAGATATATATTAGGGCTGGGACTGGGTTGGGTCGGTCGATTACCAGCCTAAAAACCGACCCATCCGTCAAACCATTTTTGCTCAAATTTGAAAACCGTTGCCGACCCAACCTTTGTGGTTCGGTTGATAGTTGGCAACCGAATATTTGGTTCCGAAATGGGTCGGTTGGTGGTTTATACCCGCAACTTAGTTCACTTAAAAACAATCAAATTTTGGAGTAAAATATCCACATTTTGCGTAATGCAACAGTGCGATCATCATTTATCAGTTCAAAATAATTAAATAACAATTTAACGAAAAAATATAATTAGAAAATTCAAAGTAATTTCAAACATGCACAAGAGATTTAGTAGAGTTTTGTGAGCTTTTTGTTTAAGCTTGGGCATAAAGAAACTGGTGGAAGATTTAGGTCAATTTTTTTTCCTTTGTTGATTGTTTTTAAAATTTAAAATACTAATATTTTGATAATTTCAATAACCACTTAAGAAAACACAGCCTTTATTTTATATTTTTAGTAAAATTTTAATAATATAGTTGGATGGCAGATAATTATCGGTCAACCAACTTTTGATAATATTAGAAACCATCAACCGACCCATTATAGATGGTTTGGGTGAAATTTTCGACCCGATCCAATGGGTTGGTTAAAAATTGATTATCCGCCTAAAAATATGGTCGGTAATGGGTCGGTTGGTGAATAAAAACCAACCCAGTCGCAGCCCTAATATATATAATAAACACATGTGGAAAGCGTGTCAAAAAATATGAAACAAATAATCTTAATATTATTATTGTTAACTAGTATTTCATCCGTGCGATACACGGAGAATACTACTTATGATAAGGGCAAATGGCAAATAGGCCCATGATAAGGGCACATAATTAATTAAAAGAGGGACATCCAACTTTTTTGTCATTTCAAATAAATCCAGCCCATTCAAACCTATTTGCAAATAAGGAAAATCATTTAATATATACCAAAATTACCCTCAATTCATTGAAACTCAATTGAACTACAATTTCATGATTTACACCCCAATTTAGCCCAATTTCATCAATTAACCAATTTTAATCCTAATTTTAATTTTGACCCGCCACCACCGGAGACCGTCGGTCGCCGCCGTTGACCGGCGGTCTCCGGCATTGACTTTTTTTTTTTTTTATAATTTTGGTTTTTCTTAAAAAAATATTTTAATTAATATTATTGTCTTGGCTGCTAAATTACTGTCTCCAGCAGTTATTTAACTGTCGAAGACAATAATTTAACTGTTAATTAACTTTTTTTTTTCTTCAAAAATATTTTAATTAATATTACTGTCTTCGATGCTAAATTACTGTCTCCGGCAGTTATTTAACTGTCGGAGACAGTAATTTAACTGTTAATTAATTTTTTTTAAATATTTTAATTAATATTACTGTATTCGTTGCTAAATTACTGTCTCCAGCAGTTATTTAACTGTCCGAGACAGTAATTTAACTGTTAATTGACTTTTCTATTCTTAAAAAAAAAAAAATATTACTGTATTCGTTGCTAAATTACTGTCTCCAGCAGTTATTTAACTGTCGGAGACAGTAATTTAACTGTTAATTGACCTTTTTTTATTTTTGAAATTTTTTTTCTTAGAAAAAAATATTTTAATTAATATTACTGCATTGGCTGCTAAATTACTGTCTCCAACAATAATTTAACTGTCTTAGACAATAATATTAATAATATTACTTTCCCAAACAGTAATATTACTGTCTTAGACAGTAATTTAGTAGCCAAGATAGTAATATTAATTAAAATATTTTTTTTTAAGAAAAACAATTTCGAAAAAAAAAAGGTTAACGCCAATTATTATAAAAAAAATATTAATTGTTTTTAAAAGTTTTTTTAAGTATTTAAATACTTAGTAGTCAAATTATGCTTTTATTTGAATTTTGAATTACATAAAAACTTAATTTTCAAATATTTTAAGTTTTTAAATACTTGATGTATTTCTTTTATTTTTTATATGTGAAAAGAAAACTTAAAAGACTTAATATATTTTTTGAATAAGAAGAGTGAAATTAATATTCAAATATTTAAATTTTTAAATACTTAATGTTCAAATATTTTAGATTTTGAAATATTTGATGGATAAATAAATTAGAAGAATTACTTTTATATAGGAAATATTTAAAGAATTAAATGAATAACTTAATGCTCAAACTTCAAATATTAAAAGATTTTTTT